TATTTACCTTGATTATTTGAAATTTTTAATTGTTGAACAACTGGATTTCTTCCTGGATTTCAGAAAAATTCCTAATGAGTGTTGACTGGAATTCTCAAAAAGCCCAGTAAATGAACTCTTCTTCAAAATTCTTCAACTTTGAGTACTAAGTGAGACTACACCCTCCAGTGTTATGGAATTGTTTGTAGGAAGCAATAAATCAGAAGGAAAAAAAAAAATTGTTTCCTTGACCTCTTTTTCTTTTCTTGGATTCTTGTTTGAAAGCTTCATTCAATATTTTTTCCAATAATATCGGATATTGATATTGGTTATCGAATATCAGAATACAAAATATCTTATTATCGGAAAATTCTAATATCGTTACATCCCTAGTTTCAATGCAGGCAAAAAAATATGTAGCATTACTTGATTGTGAGGTCAGCAGCCCAACAATATAAGCAGTTAGAATGCGGGCAAAAAACTAATTTCGTAGCTTCAATATGGCACTTCCCACAAGAAACTGGCAAGCTGTCTAAGTTGTCCAAATCAAAGCTGGCCAATATATTTTAGGCCTCCACCCTTGTGCTCCAAGTAATGCTACCTTGGTGTTCACAAGGCGAAGACTGGATGTTAAGGGGGGGTGTACATGGTGTTCACAAGACATACAAGAGCCAACATCACTACCTGCTATCAATGGAAGCACTCCTAGTGCTTATCAAATGAATTCACAGCCCCCTCCCCAAAGTAGGCAGTGATGCTGCTAGCTTTCTGCATCCTTCTCCCTTAATTAAAAAAACCACCTTGGTTTTTATGAAAGCCTTCTCCCTTCTAGGAAAGTCTCAAATGGCAAACAGTCTAAATTTGATCTTTTCCTTGAAGACTCCAGTGCACCTTGGAATGTCAAAAGAGGCAATGGACAAGAATCCAATCTATGCTCAAGTCAATGGATAAAATGTAGAAATGCAAGAAATTTGAAGAGGATAAAATGTAGACAAGAAAGTAAAAAATGCTTTTTATTGGTCACAGTACCAAGAGCAAAGTTATATTTTTCCCTTTCCAAATCAATACAATGATTGTGAAATCTTTTGCAAGTGAATGAGTATCACTGATGTGATTAAGATTAAAGTGAAAGAGAAAGAAGTCGCAGACAATTGAGGATGACTTTGTAAAAGGATATTAGTCCAACCTCATGTAGATGCTATGTTAAAGGGAAAGAGTTCCCATGGTTGAATGCATGGAACATGTAGATGTAGAGGAGTCCACATATTGTGAAGGTGTAGAGGAATAGAATAGCATATTGCAGAACCAAGACTTTGATTCAACAAGGTTGCAAATGATGTGTTCGATGGCAGCTATCAGAATTTGATAGATGCCACTGGGTTTTGGTGACCAAATTCTGGGGTCTTGTGGAAGTTAAGCACTTGAATCCTGCTAGGTGAGGAACTAAAACCAGAACATCTAGCTTTCCCCATCCACTAAGGATGCAGGAGGTAGCAATGTGGGCAACATCTACATTGACTAGTTAGTATTAGTAGTTTCAGTATCTGCAGATGTATCAAAGCATGGAGTCATAAGGGCCCATAGTAAGAGAGGGGTGAATTCATTCAATTAGCACTGTAATGAGGGGTACAAATTCAATCTAGAAACAGTATCAGCAGTTGCACTAGGTTTCTTGCCATAGGGGTCCCAGGGACCCTTGGGTCTGATATGGAATGGTCCCCTGTTAATTAAGGGGGTTACTTTCCAAGTGAAGCACAAGGGAATCTTGAAGGGTTCCCCAAAAGTAAAAGTCCAGCAATCCATGTGTATTTGCTGACTTAACATAACCAAGCAGTATGATATTCAATCCAGCAGTCTTGGGCCTTCTGTCTGTGCATCCCAGGACCCCCAGGATGCATGGGCAGGAGGCCAGGGTGAGAATCTTAGTGCAAGAGTTCCATAGAAACACTGTGGCCAAAGGCCATCAGGAGATTTCCAACAACACCTCAAGCCAGTTTGCTGTACCCCACGCATGCAACGTTTTCTTTGCCACAGGCATTTAGCACCTTGAATACCAGCTTGAAGGGTTAATATGTAAGGAAGGACCAAGAAAAAGAAACAGTTGGCATTGGAGACAGTATGGGGGGAAAAAAGAGAGCTGAATATCATGGAGAACATGTTATAAATTTGCTGCCAGATAATCTCTGAACAACCTTCCAAAACTTGGGTGAATCAAAGTTTACCCATCATTCAATGTACTGGAACGGCAGGTCTATGCGTGGGCCGGATTCTTATGATATCCATTGGCCTATCATAGGCCTGGCAAAAGTCATTCATGCCAACTTAGATCTAGGCTTCATTTCAAGCCCGAAAACGCCTAATTGCAATATTAGGAATTCGAACTTACCTTTATAATGTTTATCGGGGGCCATTTGCTTGGATGCATGTTGAACCTGTAGGAGAAGTTTGACTCTCTCGATGGGTGCGACTGAAGTCTTGGATATTGCGGCAGCGACGCCACCAGCAACAAAATCCTTCATAAAAGCAACTGGATCTGCAAGTCCCGACGGCATTGTGCTGGATATATGATCTTCAAATGAGACAGAGAGGACTGGCTGGTATTCCACCGAGAAGAAGGAATAGGACTGTCTCAGCTCGGCTTCTGCAATGGAGTCTACCACGCAAGGGTCGAGGAGCACATATGACGTAGCTAGGGTCACGTGACGGGATTTGACAAATCCGGTGGAGGCCGGTCGCACAAGCCGACTTTTCCGTCTCTCAGTCACGTTCTCATGAAGGTCGTTCCAGTTTTTCTCGGAACTGGAATCTTATTATCTGTTAATGTGGTCCTCGGCTTCGTCTCAGTTCATCTGTGTCGTCCCATATATTTTTCTCTTCCAGCACTGCTAGTAGCAAACATCTGTAAAAAAAAAAAAAAAAAAAAAGGCTTCTGACAAGACGCTCATTCCATCTTGACGTTTTTTATTGCGTTTCTCGATGACAAGCGATCCTGATTGATTCCAAAAAATTATGGGCAGTCGATTCTGTGAGACAGTTCATGGCATGCTCTAGAGTATCATGTATGTGCCCTTTTTCTTCCTCTCTAGGCGCATCTACAGTGAAGGCTGCTTGACACAGCTGCCTGCAGTGGGTATGCGGTGGGCGTATTGATGCCTGTCCCCGCTCCCAAGATTTGTGCAATCCTTTTCATCGTGTGACTGCCTTCGTGAATGACAAGTGACTTCTCCACAGTTCTGATTGCGTGCGAGTGACTTTTGCGTCATCTCGTCAAATAGCACGTGATGTTGGGATCGAGTTTTACAGGTCATACTAATTGTCCGGAATTAGAGGTATCGTCAAACTATTAACCCTGTCTCAGTTAAGAAAAACCTTCTTGCTTGGGCTGAGTGGTGGGGGTTGGGGAAGGAGAGGGGGAAAAATGAGGTTTTTCTTAAATGAGACAGGGTTAATACATTGCCTCTCAGATGGTGCTCCATAAATGTACCCTAGTAGCACATAACATTGAAACAACATTGATTCAACATCCGGACGTTGAACCAATGTTGATTCAATGTTGTGTTCTACTAGGGTAGAAAATAATAAGCGTACTAGAACGTAGACTACCGGGTTATAGCTTTCCATGACTGCTGAAGAAATTAAACTATTTATATCTCACTCCTTGATTGAATATTCTCATGCAACGAAACAGCTGTGTGACACCCATACAGTTCTCTATCTCAACATCACGTGCTATTGCATAATGACCGAATGACTTCATGGCTACTGTTTTTCATTTCAGTCCAGTGATTTACTGATTCATCATGCCAGTTACTCACTATATGCACGTCAGGAAAGGAGCTGGAAAAATCGAAGCCCACCGCCTCCTTGCATCTGTTCAAGGAATGTTACATCAGTGTCCAGCGCATGGAGGAGGTGCTGGAATTTCCCGATGTTCGGAATCCACGCATGGGAAGAGCAAAGACTATGCTTTCGAGATGGCATGCTCCAATATTCGATTCGGCCCCGGTGCAAGCAAGGAAGTCGGCCAAGACCTCATGAACATGGGTGCCAAAAACGTGTGCGTCATGGTCGATCCGAATTTGATCCCCAAGGCCCCTTTCCAAGCTGTGGCTGATTCCTTGACGAGGAACAGAGTCAATTTTAAAGTCTTTGACCAGGTCAGAGTGGAGCCATCTGACGAGAGCATGAACGTGGCAGGCGAATTTTGTCGTCAAGGGAATTTCGACGCTTACGTGGCTGTGGGTGGTGGGTCGACGATTGACACGTGCAAAGTCGGGAACCTCTTGGCATGTGATCCTTCAGCTGACCTCTTGAAATACACGAACGCACCAATCGGGAGGGGCGAGCCCATCAACTTCCCTCTGAAACCCTTGATAGCCGTCCCAACGACGGCTGGAACCGGAAGTGAAACCACAGGAGTCGCTGTTTATGACTACGTTCCCTTGAAGGCCAAAGTCGGCATTGCAAGTCGAGCTTTGAAACCATTGCTGGGAATCGTGGATCCCACTCACATGAAGACGATGCCAAATCGCGTAGCTACGTTCTCGGGTTTTGATGTTCTCTGCCATGCCCTTGAGTCCTTCACAGCCATTCCATACAACCAAAGGAGTCCTTGCCCAGAGAACCCGATCTTAAGACCGGCATATCAAGGGAGCAACCCCGTATCGGATGTATGGTCCCAACATGCTCTGAAGATCATCCAAAAATATTTCGTCCGATCTGTGGAAAATCCTGACGATGTGGAAGCGAGAAGTCAAATGCATTTGGCTTCCTCCTATGCTGGGATCGGATTTGGAAACGCAGGAGTCCACCTTTGTCACGGCATGTCATATCCAATATCCGGGCAGGTGAAGGAATATCGGGCTCGTGATTACAGTGCAGATCATCCCCTAATTCCACATGGACTGTCGGTCGTGATCACGGCACCAGCTGTGTTTAAATTCACAGCTCCTGCCTGCCCTAATCGACATCTTCGAGCAGCTGAACTCCTGGGCTCAGAGAAGGCCATACGTGCGAAGGAATCAACTGCCGGAGATATTCTCAGTGAAGTCATCCTTCATTACATGCAGCGATTGGGGATCGAGAATGGCCTTTCCGAGCTAGGTTTTACCAACGAAGACATCCCAGATCTGGTGAGGGGGACTTTGCCTCAGCATCGAGTCACCAAACTCTCTCCCAAGCCTGCTGAGGATCATCTCTCACAGCTCCTCTCCGATTCCCTTAAGGTGTATTAAGTATTGGGTTTTTCCACAATAAAATTGTATTCCATTTCAATGTTTTGTATCTGCCATGTAGATCTGATTGGATGGGGTTTATAAACTCCCAAAGTTATAATGGTCAATCCATTTCAACTACTCTTCATATGGTTTATTGACACACGCGACAAATTAACCACTTTTCATCCTGCTAACAAGCAACGTCAACAATAAAATGTCAATCAACATGTAACAGACCTGAGTGGAAATCCAACTAACAGTCAAAAAGCGATGAAAGGAGGGAAACATGTAAAGAAGATATGATCCTACGGCGAGATTTCTTTGTTTCCTGAAATTGAGATCACGACTCTACATAATTACGATGTCTGAATGAAATGCCAACGCGAAAACAGTATTTCAAGGACTTGACAGCTGCCAAAAAGTACGTTGGCCTCGAAAATTGAGGACAGAAGAGGTATTATTCCCACGTGGGGCAGATCTTTAAATGCATTTTAAAAAAAAATATGCCACGCTCTGTACAACAAAACATGATAATCTCTCTTTCGCCCTTTTCTTGGTTGTATATTACAGAGTATACACTGATAATTGGTGAGCAAATCAACTGGTGATCCACGACAGGGGAGTAGACGGAGAATATAAAGGATTTCAGTGCTTGTACTGCGATTGAGAGCGAGGGACCTGTATTCATCATTTTCACCGTCCACTTCCCTGTTTCGGTTTTCTTTTTTTAAATCATCTGAAGGTCATATATAGAATAATTCTTGATCACAGTTTCCTTGCAGATTCACTACGAGCGGCGTCTCCTATGGTAATCCGTTCATTTTGATTCGAATATCATCCAAAGGCACTGAAACAGACAGAGAGCAGTGATCAAAGATAAGATCAGATCATCCGATCCAAGTTCCCTTGGACTGGGTGTATGTTATTGTAATATGGGCTGAAAGTGTTTGGGGAAAAAACTACCTTCCAGTCGTGGGTGGGATGCGGAAGAGTCGTCGTCATTGAAGGGTGAGGTCCTCTTCGCATTTGGGTACATCGAATATCTCGGCGAAGAGAGGAGGGACTTTGACTCGATGCCAGTTACCACGGAACCAGTTGAGATGCTCGAAATGCTTCGTGCCCAAGTTCCTCAACTCCGGCAACTTCATCATGATGCTCGAGAACAAGTGCGTCTCGCCTGGGTGGTGACGAGATACCTGCAAGATCCACCATAGTTTATCTTGTTAACTGATGGTTTGCAGGAGTTGACTCATGACGAAAGATCATGTGCATGTGACAGACTTGGATTTTAAGAGCCTCGATGATCTTGTCTTGGTTTTGTTCGATGAGTTTGTGATCCGTGAGCCCTCCCCGATCCGCCGCGAGGAGAACAATGGCCGAAAAGAGACCGATCTCAGTGTCATTCAATCCGAGGGCGCAAAACGACAGGCAATAGTTGAAGAAAGCCGTCGTGAACTCGTGCTGCATATATGATAATGGAAAAAATGTACTCATTCATCTACGAAAATTGTTTTAAGTGGGAATCGAGGTGGAGAAACTGACGTCAAAGATGATGTCCATTTGTTGCCGAGTGACGAAACTTCCATCAGCGAATGTCAACGTATTGTCCACGCTGCTGGTCATTCGTGCCACATACGTCATCCAGATCTCGAAGAAGCCCACCTTGATCAGGATCAACTGATCATCCTGCGTCAAGTCGCAGAAACCTTGACACGAAGAAAAAAAAACATTTGTCAGGAAGGGGGGAAGAGTGAGAAAGTTCCGGGCAATGACCTGAATGAAGCATTTCTTAGATACATTGGACTGTTATAACTTGTAATTACCTGGTACCCGTTTGGCGAATTCCACGACTCTCTGTATGGAGGGGGTCATGTAGAGGGCGAAGGTTTGCCACATGGTAATTTTCTGCTGTTCCAAGGTATCGGCTGTGGACGATGCTGCTTCAGGACTCTCCGGAGATCCTCCACCTCCCTCCGGAACACCCTGCTTCACATCATCCAGAAACACGTCTCAGTAATGAATCAAGGAATGAATGAAATAAAGAATATATATGTGCAACACAAAACAAAAGGTGGAAAATGTAGAAAGTTGACCGCTGTGAAGGCCTTATTGCAAATGCGGCCACACATTGAACATTTTAAAAATAATGTACCTTGTTTACGCGTCGAAAATTCACTTCAGTCTAGATTTTTCCGAGTCTATATTTCGACAGTCAAAATAGCGGTTGGAGTCGATATTAGCTAATTGTTGGACCAAATCGACATGAAATTGACAGCTTTTGGAACCCACAAAGTCTTTTTTTTCCTTTTTCTTTTCACTAAACAAGTGCTTACTTTATTATTATTATGTCATATTGAATTTCATAGAGATGGGGCGAGGAAAAGCATTAGAAACGTAGAGCAGAAAGTGAACCGCACATCAGCGGTGTTGGAAGAGAGAAATTCCTTGGTCGTTGTTCCTGCTCCTGAATTAGAGCTTGCGATGCAGATGCGATTGAATGATGATATAGTGCACAGTCGCAGCGAACTGACAATCTCCAGACGCGAGGTGAAGGTTTTTAGTGCACTAGGAGAATCACGACCCCCCCGATACAACCGAGCAATCGATGTGGGAATTGTGGGGATTGTGGGAATGGAAGAAGATTGTACCACAGGTGTCAGGGAAATCAGTTGACCCCTCGTTTCTTCATCGTGAACCTAATTGAAATTCTTCCCAGACTATTTCGTATTTTCAATGACATTTCTCTCATGCTCTAAACCAAATACACTTGTTTTTCTTCTCAGTCACATGGAGAAGACAATGCTCTTGTCTGTGTTTGCATGAGTTCGTCTTTGTAGTATCGAGGACACTTTTGCATTCCAACGCGCCACTCAAAGCTTTTTTCGCTAGCTCATTCACTTCTTGCCCATTGTTCGAACTCGAAAGAATCTCTTATCTTCCTATCTGTCTTTCTAACCCAGAGAGAATTTCTTGCTTTTCCTGATAGTAATGCGGTTGCAACTTTTTTTGAATGAGTTCCTTTCGTGATGTCATTCAGAAGAATGGTTGGGCTGTAAATATAAATCTTTAGCACGGAAAAGAACTCACGAAGGTGGCTGGTTTCCGAAGAAGTCCTCGGGTTTTCTCATCGGTATAGGCACAGTTGACATGATGGGCTTGCGAGATGGTGAGAATGACGTCATAGACGGCCAGCTGTCTCCCGTCCACGCTGCCTTCAGCAGGAGCCGTGGATTGATCAGCCTCGCTTTGAGTGACCCTCCCGCCACCGCTCCCGCCTCCGCCACTTCCAAGTCCTCCTCCAACCATTGGACCTGCTCCTAATCCAGGCGTCACCTCCTCTCCTCTTTCGCGAGATCTCTTGGGCACTCGTCCGTATCTCACCGCTGGTGTACAGGGAGTAAATAAAATATGTTGACAGGTAAATTATCCCGAATAGTTGCGAGGACGTGAGTCTCGGCTCGTGCGTTTCAAGGCTTTGGAACCTCAACACACGAGTCGATACAATGACGAGGCATCTTTTTCTCCGCTTATCTGACGAGTGATGGACAAGATTCGTCATATGTACGAGAAGATTTGTGATCTTTTGAGGCAGGAAAGGCTTATGAGACATCAAAGGGTACGCACAGTCTCTGGACATCCCAACGGCGAGGCACTTCTTGAACCGGCAGTACTGACACCTGTTGCGGTTCAGACGTATCACCAGGCATTTCCCGTCCCTCAAGCACCGGTATTCAATCTGTTTCTGGATACTTCGACGAAAGAACCCCTAGAGAGAAAGGAAGAAAGTACCGTTGATGAGTACCTTGAGGAATGGCGCTTCCATGACCTCTATCCTCTCACTCATGTCACTCGTGGAATAAGATGGATGAAGGGGTATACAATAGGATGGGCGGGGAAGAAAAAAAAAACAAACCTTGCATCCCTCGCAAGAGGTGACTCCATAATGATAACCGGAGGCCTTATCACCGCAAACCTTGCAAGGCACGAAGGACTTGGAAGGATTTCCGACACCCGTGTTCGAATCTGCTGCTGCTGCATAACTCGATTCTGCAAACACATGAAAACGGTCAACATTAAGCATGGCCTCGGAGGCACACACTCTAATATGGAGAAATGCATTGTCTTAGTTACGCTGATGTGCAAATGGATCTCTGACCCAACTGCAATTAATTAGTCGTGCAGGTAATCTACAATTACGGTTCGTAATTAGTGGCTCTATTATGTTAATTTAGATGCATCGAGAAGACAATTAAACGGGCCTGATCGACTCTCAATCGGCAGTATAATTTCGAGCAATCACAATTTACTATCCAAGCCGTAATTAAGGGCACTTGGATGCAATTACATTAATTTCTAGTGAAGACCGACGGGGATGTGGGGGTCTACCCATGCACCACGAGCCAGCTATATGGTTCTACCGAATGTGATAAGCTGTTTTCGTGACGACTTGACGTCTACGTCTGTTGGGATATGAAGACGGGGTTACTTTGATGGGTCCAGTGAGCAAGTGGATTCCGTTATACAGTAAAGGGGGAAAGAATCCAGGTATAACGGAGACCAATAGACGCTTGGATGAACAAGTCCGCCTATCCGTAATCAAGGAGTGTGGCTTTCTCCTTTTTTTCCTCTGTTCAATATGTATCATCGGGGATGGAGATATTCGTTATGCATGCCTATCATTTGTTCCGGTGAGAGGACCCACCCGCAACTAAATGAGCTTCCTAAGGAGTTTCTTTTTTCTCTTCCTTGTTTATTTGGCTTCCAGCTATTTCTCTTGCGGTTCTAGTCGAGGGAGAGTGACGATGTGCAACTTCCTCTCTCCCTCTTGTTTCCCAGTTCATGTGGAAATTCACGTGGCTCGCCTTCGAATTCACTTCTGCTAGGAATCGTTCCTCCGAAAACGTTCCAGACTTGATGTTTCACCCTCTCCAAAAAATCGAACACAAGTCAAAGCGGCCGATGGCACGAACAAGTTTTTTTTATTCACGTCATTGAGACTCAAGCTCGACTGGTAGCATGAAGCCGTAGGAATACAACGGCGATCAATTCTTTACCCGCGGCGTAGATCATGAACTCCGATACTCAGCGATTGGACGACGTCACATTGATTAATATGATAGATACATGGAGAAGATACGTTTTTTTTTCCTCCGCCATGGGGAACGATAGATCATGGTCCGTGCACCGTTTCATCCAGAGAGAGAGAGAGAGAGAGCAAGCCGAACCTAACGGTGATGGAGCCAAGAACTGTTAAATCCCGGCGTGGTGGCGACAAGGGCGTGCTTTCACTGGAAGACACGGGCGAGGAGGGGAGGTAAGCTGACATTGAAAGGAAGCTGGGTGTAGTATGGAGTGGTGCAACGACCGACCTACTTCTGGCCCTGCTAGCTGCTGCTGCTGCTGCTGCTGCTGCTGGTGGTGGTGGTGGTGGCATTCCTCCCCGAGCATGCCTTCGCCCTCGGGGCTTTCCACGAGGGGGATATTGAACTTCCCCCCCTCTCGCGCAGCCTCTCATTGGCTACTCACACGCCAGTCCCGCCTTGCCTTCCGATTCCCTCCCAGAATATAACGGGTTGCGTCATAGCCCGGAAGAAAACGCATGGCCGGTCAAATCACTCGCAAGTAAGTACGTAACGGTGTCACGCCTTGCACGTGAATGAATGTTATTGAGATCCCCCCCTCATAAACATCCCCCCTCGACAGGTAACATTCATCATCTGTAGAATTTTCCTCCATTCGTGTCTCCCTTTAAATGTCTCCTCGCCTTGCCGAAATATGCTTTCGTTTTCAATTATACACACTCTCATTAATCGTCATGCATCGGCACTTTCAGCTGCCGATCCTATATGTTTTCCCGATGACTTCTATGTATATTGCTGAGACACGGCATATGTTAATTGATGAGGAAAATTATTAGTCTCATGCTTTTTATACTGTATCCTCGGGGTGAAACATGTTTGACGTAGGATGATGAGTAGTTTGATGAAACAGCTTGTGCTAAGAATTACAAAGAGGAGATGAGGCCTATTTGAGATAGTAAACGCCACTTAAGTCCTGGATATAACTGTATCTGCAATGGGCTAATTTTAGAAACCGTTGAGACAGATGAACGAGTTTGGAGGCTGTTGCTGGCGAGCTAATTCTGTCGCTTTCGGATAATGACTCGTAGGCTGAAGGATGAGCTGCGATGACCCCATATTAGAGCCATTCTCAATATTGATTTCAATTTGATTAACATTGAAATGCAAGCTGATCTGCTTCAAACCGCACGAACATAAAATAAGAATGAGCAGGGACAGCTGGAATTCCCCGAGAATATGGAAATGCTGATTGAACGACTTTGTGAATAGGCTTTGACTCGTTCTGTTGTACTGCCACACTTAAAATACGGAAAGGTCTGTGATTGTACACACAGATTGATCACACAGGCCTCAGTCAACTTCTGAGGCCATTGTTTTCGGCCGTCATCAATACCATACGGGCCTTTCTATAATTAGCTGCTTTCATTTTAAGAAATATTCACGAATCTGGCTGATAGAATTGCTTTCCATGGTTGTCAAAAGCAACAACGACACCATGTTCAGATTCATGAAGGTGTTCCTTGTCGCTTATTGATGCTTTAAACCTGTCTTCCTTGGCTGTATGACAGTGAGAAGTCATAACATGAACGAGAAGAATATTGCAGGGACTTTTTTTTGACAGAAAACGGCATGAATCACTCGCAGGCAGGAAATCCCTTCCTCGACACATTGGGCCTTTCCGGTTTCTCAGGTAATCACAGCTCACTTTTCTTGCGGTTCCCTTTCTGGTGCGGAAAAAACGGCTTCCCCCTCTTCGGGGGCTATTTCGCTCCAGAAGGGTTCGATGGGAGAAAAACGATTAATCATCAACCCTTTTCGAGGGCGAGGGCGAGACAGCCCTTCAAAACTATCAGGTATTAAGAGATAAGTGAGCGTACTGATGTCATAGAGTACCGGTACCCTTGAAATGTTGCCGTTTGAGCTGGAAATGCTGCATTAAAAGTGGGGGAATCCTAGGTTCTTCGATGCCACCTCACACCCTGGTCCGACCATACGTCCTAATTCTCCTCCATTTTGTTTCCGACATCCCCTTACTTTTACGGATACTCGGCATTTTTTTCACCTTCGATTCATGCCCTGATTCCCCCACATTTAAAAATAAGTACGAAAAACTAAGCAAAAAGTCTGTGCTAAAAATGGTGTGCTAACAATCATTGATCATGGGGGGGGGGGGGGGGGATCCAAAATTCCTGTGCCAGTGTCAGCCAATGCAGTATAAGTATTGAGTCCGTAGAGGAAAAAGGGCTCCAAGGGGCGAAACGATTCATGATGACTTGAGAGGATTCTCGGACCCCGACCTAAAATAATTGGGACCCCTGTTGTAGTCTCGATGTATCCATGTTGATGTCGATGCGTCACGATTCGGCAGCACGTCAACCCTATTTTATCCTCGACAGGTATTATTATTCATCGATACGAGTGCGGTTATAACGGAGTGTAGATCTTGTCATGCATGAACTTCTTCCTCTCTTCTTCGACTGGATTGTTTTGACAAGAGGTTCTTTGAACCGTGATGCCGTTGGGGCTGTGATTACGATGAATCCCACCACGGTGGGGAGCCGGGGACGTCGGCGAAGATTAATCACACCAGAAAACCTTCCTGGTATGCGCTATACCTAATCCTGCAGATCTGATTCACAGTGAACTGGAAAGTTTTTATCCGCCTCCCAACCAATGACCTTCCGCAGTGGGGGAAAAAAAGGAAAAGGGAATAAGGGAGGGGAAAAAAGGTGTGTGAGGGCGTAAGAGATTCGTCTCATCACACGCGGCTAAGAGCATCTGAAAAGCATACGGAGGAAAAAGAGCCTACAGGCTCGGGTCGGTGCATTATCATGCAAAGATACAAAAGAGACAACTCGGTAGGGGGTTTAAGGTCATTGGCCCATCCCTGCATGACATTATTCAATTAAAGCCCACGATGAAGGAAGCAATCAAAGGAGTTATCCTGCCACTTATCCCTCAAGTTCACTGACCGGGATACCCGAATCGCAGGAATATCCCCCCCATCGGTTTTGAAACCGTTTTATGAAAAAACGGAAGACCATAACGTCGAATGGAATGACGTGAATTCCTCACAATAAATGCTTCGAATGCGACGAATCCCATTATCGTATGGTAATTTATTTGGCATTTCTCATCCAGCTGGAATGAGTCGCAGAGGTGTGAACTTGGGTTCCAGTCCCGGAAGGAATGGGCGATGCAGGAGGAGGTGAAAAGCACCCTGTTCCACTTTCCGAAAAGGGAGGAGAAGTGAGGTAGAAGCAGTAACGGGTTGATAACGTAACGGGGAGAGGGAAAGAGAAGAGAGTGGATTTTCACGGCATTCGTTCATTGCAACGGGATTCCAGTTGCGGTCCCCCTTCTACCAGTTTTTCTCTCGCCTCTCTCCGCCGAACGGTCCTCCTTCGGCAGACCCGTTCCTCATGGACTCATTTTCACATCCCAATGCTCTCCCTCTCGAATGTCGATGAAGGGAACCGATCGCCCGGAGGAGATAGGTCCTATTCCTATACAGTGTCGATCTTTGTCTTCCGTCGGATCGGCCTCGGGAGGCTCGAATTCCCAGATCTTCCCCGTTGGGTGAATGTCCCCGCAGATTGCTGGGGAACTCCTTTTGCCTTTGACTTTTGACGTTCACTCCACGTATATATGGAGGTGAACGACCGCGAAATTGAGGAAGAACCACATAAAACATGTTTCGCGAAAACCCCTGACAAGATTATAGCGTACTCGTGAATAATTGAAGCGGAATCTCCCAACGATATACCTGGGTTAAAAACAAGTAAGACCAGTCCAATCGTGGGCCTTCAACAGCGAAAAGAGGATTAATTTTCCATTCCCCTTAACATGCAAATCGCATCCCAGACCTCAACTACGAAAAGTCATTTTAGATCAGATCCTTAGCCTCTCCATCACTCTCCACAGAAAGTGAAGAAAGTGCAGTATGCCAAAGAAAACCAAGTTGCAACTAAGTAGGTTTTTGGGTTTTTTAATTATAAATTTTGACAAAAAGATTTTTGCTTCGAAAAAGCTCGACGATTTTATGAAATAGGTTCTCCTTATAGTTCTGACATCCATGATAGCTGAGTGAGCGGCGGCTAAACATGGAACCTTGACTTAAGGCCGACATGCATGGTTTCAGCTTCACTTGTGTGTGAGTTGCCCCGGGGCAACTCCTTCATGCTATCAAATGAAGTTTTTGGCATCGGTCGTTTTGGAAAAAACCAAGCCAGTGAATAAAAGTAAAAATTTGAAGAAACGAAGGGAATTTTTTCCTAAGGAATTTGCCATTTGTTGCATGCAACCGGATAAGTTCTCGAGGCAAGGTTGGATCGAAAATCTGTTCGTTCATTGCATAGAGGCCATACACTATTGAAAATGAGATGTCTATCCCACCCTAATTATCGCTCTAAATCAGGCACATCTGTGAGTCGCCAGCAATTGCTTTATTTACCATCGGAAACGATGATAAAATCTTCCTTTTAATGACATGGTGATTCTCAAGTTTGGAAGCCTTGTGCCGAATGGCACGCTTCAGAGCTAGTCTGCCTAAGATCTTTCTGCTTCACCAGTCGGCACAATTTGCCATCCAGATAAACTCCATTTCCGGATTCGAATTGTCCTGCCTGTCTCTTGGATGCGGAAGGATATTCATCCGGAATGAAAACTATTCCAATATTTACATATGTTTTAAATACTCCTATTGTTTTTAATATCCCAGATTTTCAAGAAATTCGAATTTAGAGGGTTGACTCTGGTATGTAGGACTGTAGTACAAGAATATATTTAGAGGCATGGTGGACGGTGGTGTTGATGTAGGATTGCTGGAGGGAGGGTGGAGGGTAGTGCGGGGCCAGCGGAGGAAGCGACGTTTTAGCGACGTTTTTCCACATTCATCCCCTCCCTGTCGCTGCGTGTAAATACAAAAAGTTAACACGGGCAATAAAAGAGTCCGTTTCGGCGGGATATCCAGAATCCTAGCCTTAATCTTATCTGTGTCTGTCGAAATACAGACTTCCACCACCATTAAGGCAATATTTTTTATAGTTATCGCCGGGCAGAGAAAGTGGCTATAAAGGAATCGGATCTGACAGACATTGAAGGCCTGTTCATTCGGATCTTCTTCCCACTTTTTCTTATACAGCCTCTTTATTTTTTCCTAACCTTAAACCTCTACCGACGAGAGTGGCAACAGATAACATAGTCATGACAGGACTAATGGATGACTTCTTTCTTTTTCTGGAAGTACGGCTCATTAACAAGAAACCGGGCAAACCCATTCCAGAATTGAGCCCTGTTTCCCTTAACAAGAGCTTTATTTTACCACCACATTAAAGAAGATACAATCACATTCTCATTCTCGCCTTC